CGCATGAATTTTTAACGTTTTTTAACACAAAAACTGCGATTTTGCCCGAATTAGCGAGTTCCAGCCTCCCCTGGACGCTCCCTCATCATTCTGATAGCGCACACTCTTCCCCTCTATCCCTCTTTTGCCCCGATCACTTTGCGGGGTGTCTAAAAAGCCTTTGACCCCTGTGAAATTATACCCCAAGAGAAGAAAGTAAAGTCCGAAACGGTGGTTCAGAGCCATACACAGTTGAAAAAAGTTGTCAAAATATCATAGTCTCTGTGATGACTAGCTTGTTAAAAAAAACACTACCATTCGTTTTCATTGGCATGTGACAAAGTTCCTTCTATTTTGACCGTAGTGGTCCATAACAACGATCCCTACTTTTCACAATGTTGAAATACCACAACAAAACCGTTGGAATGTTTGATAGTAGCCAGATATATCGTAACAGAACAAACAAGTTTGTGTCATTACAAACTTATGGTGCTGGTAGACGTAAATGACCACTGTTTTGAAATTAAAAATTGTTTCAGAAAATTTTGTGAATGTTGTTGAATTAAAACATGTTTTGTTTTTTACCAACATTTGTTGCTAGCAAACTTTGCATCAAATGTGTTCTAAATTTTCAACAATTTTTTAACAGTGTACCATTATTGCTGCGGGCAATAACAGTACAGTTAGAATGTACAGTTTAGTTTATTTCCCATCATCTATTTTAAATGACACAGGTTTAAAACCAAAAGTAAAAAAAAAATTGCCATAAAATATGTGAAAATCCCACAAATAGCCGTTTGGCCGATAGAGCGCGTAGCGCTGACCCCGACGGCAAGAATTCAACATTACTCTATTGTTTTGGTGTAATGTTCGTTGCTAGTTAAGGTACTCCTCACAGACGCAATTGAAGTTATTATAAATCCTTTTTGGGGTATAAAAATGAAGTAAGCATGCGGTTCGGACCCCCGCAAAGTGATAGGGGCGAAAGAGGTATAGAGGGAAACAGTATGAAGAATCAGAACAGTGTGGGACCGTCCAGAGGAAGCTGCAACTCGCCAATTTCCGCAAAAACGCAGTTTTTGCGTTAAAAAACGTTAAAAATTCATGCGCGACCTCTAAATTCAACTCAAAAAATCGGAAAAAAATAGTTTTAGTATCTACTAGTCAGTCCGTTTACTGCGGCAATGTGTCCCGAGCACTTTTTGAAAACAGCATTTTTTTGGGACGGTCTACCGCGCGCCTCGAGCGCGGATGGGCCGACAGGCCCTGCCGGCCTACTGCTGGCGGCACCCGTGCTAATCCAACCAAGGGTGCGAACATTTAGTACCCAGTGAGGCTAAAAGGTAGAGGCGCCCACAGCACCAGCCTCCGGTTCACGTGGCCTACCCCGCCCCAGGGACCCGCCCCATCCCCGACCGGCCCAGTAGTGTGTATGTGTGTGTTCGGTGCAGAGCGCGAAGCGAGGAGCCCCCTCTCTCCCCCTCACTCATTCTCTCTCGCCTCCCCCCCTCTCCCCCTACCGATCGCCTAGTAGCGCAGTAATACTGCCGGAAATGTCCGAACGGCTAGTAAGTACACCGACAATGTGAAAACAGGAAAGGAGGAAAACGCACAATCAAACGAGTTACACAAAATCGAGTTAAATGATTATCTTTATAGTTAACAATCAACTGAAGAAAACCTTACGCACACAAAAATCAAAATGAGATAATCACTTGGATGACGGGAGCTTCGTCCTTGGTGCGGGTAAACATTCACTCTAGAGCAGAGGCCGCACACGGGCCGCAAACCACCCCAACGGATGAGGGCAGGACGGAACGGAGGTTGCGCCGCTGCATGAGGCAGCCAGCGGCGTCCGTGCACTTGGCATTCGGACGCATAAGTACGAGCCGCTTGAGGTGCAGCAGGCCGCTAGCAGCGAGGTCTCGGCCGAGGTCGGGGAAGTAGAAGCCACCATTCTGCTCGTCGTCACTGACGGTGCAGTACACCTGCAGCTCCCGCAGTGACGAGGCGTGCGCGCGGACCAGCGAGAGCATGGTGGGCTTGTGGAGAGTGTTGAGGGCCACGCACAGCCAGCGCAGTGTCCCGGACTGAGAGGGGGTGAACGTTACATTGGGACCAAAGTAATCCCACACCGTTAGGCTGTGCAGGGCGGGCATGCGCTGCACACAGCGCAGCTGACGCTCGCTTGGAGTTTCTATTCTGAGCTCTTCCAGCTGCAACGGCAGGTCCGGGTAGTCGTCACACTTCTCAACGCATTCCACGTCTATCCGTTTGAGTGATGTCAGTTTGAGCACCTCCTCCATGACCTTCGGTTCTACCGGACTGGAGCACCCGAGCTCCTCGAGGTGCACCGGGTGCGACGCCAGGACACGCAGTAGTTTATCCGAGCCCTTGCCCTTCAAGCCCTTTATGCAGCGTATATGTTCCCACCGCTGTTTGTCGCGTACGATGTCATTCACCTTTAAATCATCTTCAGCGAGATCTTTGTCTGTTATGGTCAGGGTGGTTGTCATTGGTGGCCCCACATACGCGGCTGGGGACGAGGAGACAGCGACGTCCTCAACCTGGAAATAACAGCGAATAAACAACACACCGATATCAACAGAGATGGCCGTCCTGGCTGGTGGCTTACCTTGACCAGCTGGCCGTCTGCGAGTAGCTGCAGCAACAGAAGGCGGAAGACGTCGCCCAACCCGTCGAGCTGCACATCGGCCCTCCAGGTGGATCCACCCTCTTCCTCCGATACGACGCTGCACTTGTTGGTGGTGAGCAGGCGGAGGCTGTCCTCCAGCTGCATGGCCAGCTGCAGCTGCTCCGGTGAGGTGCACCCATCGCCTGTCTTACACTGCGGCACCTGCTGCTCCAGGGCCTCCTCCAGCTGCACGAGCTGGGCGACCGACTCATCCAGCTGCCGGTTGAGCGCCTTCACGGCCTTGGGGAACGCCAGCCGCAGCGCCTCCACCACCTTCCTGCCCGCGTCCACGCCCCGCTGCAGTTGCTGTCGGGGTGGTACGACTCTGTCCTGAATCAGTCGGAGCAGGGGGATGTTGTCGGGGAGGTCGCGTGGGTTCGCCGGCAGGGCCTGTGAAGGACAATGAGAACTGGTGATGCGCGCTGTCTCATTGACTTAAAAACGACGGCAACGACAACGACGGTGATACAGCGAAAACTTTGTTGGTAAAGAAACGCAAGATTAATATTTAATCCTCACTCGTTGCAATACTCTTCTCTTAATTCTATAGCTTTTAGTTTTGAAATTAAAGAAAAATGTGGTCTGAAAATTTGTAAATTATTATTATCTATATATACTTAATTGAAGATACCCATATGAGTTTGCTTTCTACAACACAAAATATTTGTTGTGGAATATATATTAGTAATCATTTCTACAACAAAGGCTACTGGTGACAGAACAGTTTTTTTTTTTTGTACTTATTTACTTTTCGGCAAGTGGGACAATTGGTCCCGAAAGAACGATTCTGCACGCATTCTTTACAAAAAGTGTGTCCGCAGGGCAGGTTCTTGGGTCGATGTAAGTCCAGGTCAAAATCAATGAAACAAATGTCACACTGCAGTTTCATCTAAAACAAAAACGAAAAAGAGATATTCACGATTGAAAGGGTTACATAGATTGAATTCAAGGAATATACCAGGTTGCTGATTAACTCCGCGCACTTCTGCAGTTATGTTGCACCGCGCGTAAGGCACCGTGGACAGGGGCGATAGACACGCCGTGCGCGCCGTCCTGAGAGCGGCACAACCGAGGGGTCCCCCACAAGCCAACTCGTTGTGTACAATACGCGCCCAACTCGCAAAATCTTGCGAAAACTATCGCGTCAAAATCACGCAAAACTCTCAAAAACCTGATCCCAACTCGCGCGTTACCCGCGGCAACTCGCCGACTCGTTGCACACCTCTTTTGGAAGTTGGGGACCCGTCGGGCACAATATAACTACAGAAGTGCGTTGGGCTAATTCAGCCACACGGCGTTACAACCCTGGCGTAAACAATTGTTTCCCTGTAAAGGGGACGGCACACTTCATCCTGCTGAGACCGATGGCAGACATCACATGGATGGAAGTGTGCGCGGCTGTACGCAGCAGGATGCATTCACCGCTTTGCATCATCCCTTTTAGACTTACTTTTACTTGAGTTGCGACTTTCCTTGGCCAGTCTCGTTGGGCTTCCGCTATTCCCCCGTCCCGCCAAAGCTATCAGCGCCGACTGCAGTGCCATCGCGTCGCTGGGTCCGCCATCATTCCTTTATCAGCTGGGCCCTGATAAGGATCCCGTCGCAGGAGGAGTGAGCGTCCGGCGATCATCGGCTGTCCGCGGAGGTGGTCTGGTCTGCGCCGGCAGGGCCCCTGTGAGGCGGGCCCGCCCGTCGCGCTCCGAGCCGGTGCGGGTGGCCTACTCCGCCGCGGTTAGGCGATCGCCCCACCCCCGACTAGCTGCAGAGCGCGCGTCTCTCGCTCTGTCTCCCTCCAGCCTCCCACTTTGCCGACGAATGACCCAGCTGCTGCTCTTCCACGGGTCGCTGTGTTACGGCGACAACAAGGCCCTGCCAGTGGGTCTGTACTTGCGAGCGGCGCAAGCGACCACTACCAGATCAGAGCACGGCTGTTTGTCAGAGTAAAGTGCTGGGCAGAGGAACACAGTTTAGAGTTGCACACAAGTTCTCTGAGTGAGGTAATCGGAACACTACGGTCGCCACCCGCGTCGTTGTTTTCGTTCTTCTTCGGCGAGGCAGCGGCGTGCGGGGGGCGGACTGACGTGTGTGTGTGGGGCCCTGTACGACCCCACGCCCCTCCCCAGCCGCGGGGCGCCGGGGAGCACCACCGAGGCGACGGCCCGGATGCCGCGCGGCTCCAGCACGGGTGGGCCGGGTGAGGCCGTGTGGGTCCGCCGCCTGGCCCTGCCGGCCTCTACAGCTGGACGCACCCGATACCGTGCCAACGCCACCGAGAGTACCAATATTTGGTACGCAGTTAGCCTGAGAGGTTGGCGCACCCGCAGCGCTCGCCGCCGGTGCGAGGGGCCTACCCCGCCGGCCGCCCTCCGCACCCCGACCGCCCCAGTAGCTAGTTGGTTGCAGGACGCGCGGCGGGGACACCCCTCCGCCTCTCTTCCGGTGGTCTAGCGGAACAGCAGGACCGACCCGGAAATGTCTCATCAGCTTCACCGACAATGATGAAGAGGGTAGAAAAGAGACGGCTGTGTCAATTCGGTAAAAGGAAATAAGGGTCAATGTATAATTTTATTGTTCTTAGACAACCAAATTTAAGAAAACCTTCTCCACCATGCTTTAGGCTAACCACGGAGTAAAAGCAGCCTACTATTACTCCGTGGGCTAACTACACCAGCGGACCAGCTTGCTGCAGCCATGGCTGCCCACCCCTCTACCGCCCCGCCGGGGGCCCGGAAGCCCGGAAAGGGGGGGGGGGCGGGGCAGCCAGGCGCGACACTCACGGCGTGAATCCCCAGCTCTCCCTCCCCTCGGCCGGGGAGCAGGGAAGGGAGCACTAAGCTGACCCTCGCACTCTGATCTGATGATCAGAGAGGCTGAGAGGCCTCGGGAGCCCTCGGGCGCGCTCGGGCGATTCCTGCGCCCGAGTCGGGCGATTCGGGCTCGGCCGGATCTGGCAGCTCTGATCTGATCACTGATCACTCGGCCGCCGGGCCGCCAGCAACACGCTGGTCTACGCCTCGGTCATCAGTCGTGGTCCAACTGCAGCCTGCTATCGCTGTCTCGTCGACTCCCAGACCACGCTCCTGCACTGCACAAGGTTCTGTATCTGGATAAGGGAAGGGGACGCGCAGAATATCTGTTCCGTTAATACAACAAGGCCTGCTGTTCTTCTCCTGTCTGTGGGGCACCGCAGAAAACCCCTCCTTTCTTGCAGAGTTCTCAAACGGGCGGGCGGGCTTCACCCGCTGGCTGAGGTGTGCGAGAGAGAGCGACAGTACACGGGCGGTGCTGTGGTGCTGTGGCTTGGCGTGGCGGCTGCAGTCACCGGCCGGACATCCGAATAGTGCCGAAGTCACCTGTGCGGGGGTCCGGCCGGGTCGGCGTTGGCCGAGAGCTACTCTCGCCACGCCAAAAAGTGCCGAACGGAGCGGGCGGACCGTCCACCCGTCGCCAGGCTCGGTCCGGGCGGCCACCCGGCCCGTTGACGAAGAGACGGGCCGGGCCGGGCGCTCTGGCGACAAGCACTCGGTGGCTGCCGGGCGGAGCCCGCCCGCCCGTTTGAGAACTCTGCTTTCTTGCTGTTGATTACAGAGAAATGGAGCTCTCTCTGACGGACCTGCCGGCCGACGTGCTGCTCGTCGTCATGCAGCACGTGGACGTGCCGGACCTGCTCGCCTGCCGCCTCGTGTGCAAGCGGCTCCACGGACTTGCCCTGCAGCCGGACGCGTGGCGGCACCGGCACCTCCACGGCGACCGGCACACGCCGCAGGCCCTGCAGTTGGCGCCTTGCCTCAAGGCCTGGAAACTGAACCTAACGAGCCAGGTGAGCCGACTGCCGCTCGCGCTCTGTACCGCGACCGAGTGCGCCGTGACCAAGCTGGCCATCACAATAACCACAAAGCACATCGAGTTCGAGGTCACCGGTCGGGTGATCCGCAACCAGGCGGCGCTGGGACGGCTCAGGCGGCTGGAACTTATCTTCAAGGATTTGCACTATTGTATTGATGACGTTGAGGTCACGAAGCTGTTGGCGACGGCGGTGTTGACGGGTGGCCTGGAGGAGCTCACGATTTGTCGTTTCAACGGCAAGCTTCCGAGCCCGGATACTCCGGCACTCCTCGCCGGGCCCGCGCCCAGCCCGTCCGTCAAGGCTCTCTACATCTCCGTCACTCCGGCAACAGAGCCGTTCGTCAGCTTCGTGCTGGCCGCGCACGCCGCGACCCTGGAGAAAGTCAAGCTCTGCGAATGCCCGTGGAGTTGGAGTACCTCGCACACCGTCGCGGCACAGCTCGCCGGCATGCCCAACCTGCGCTCGCTAAGGTGCTGTCTGCTGCCCGGGCTGCAGGCCGCAGCCGCCTGCGAGTCGCTCAGGCACTTCGAACTTCAGGTCTATCGTCCTCATCTCAATCCCGATGACGAGGCGCTTCGCAGAAACCTGCTGGACGCCAGGGAGTTCCTGCGCCGCGCAGACCAGCTGGAGTCGGTGCGCCTGGAGTACTACCTATCTGACGACCTCGGCGTCGGTCCCTCCGTCCTGTCCCTGTCTCCGCGGTCCCGCCTGCAATTCCTGGAGATCGTCGACTACCGCCCCATCCAGCGAGAGTCGGACTACCCGCACCTGCAGCCGCTGCTCGCCGCCCTGCCGTCACTGACGGCCCTGCACCACCTGGAGCTGAACGCCGTCGAGCTCGACGGGCTGGCCGGGGCCGTCACCCCCGTCACGGCGCCGGCGCTGCGCACCCTCAGGATGCGGCCCCCCGTCGCGGGCCGGACACCGTGCGCCCATGCCTACCTGCACAGCAGGTCGATGGCGACCCTCCTGGCCGACAACCCCGCGCTCCAGGTGCACGTGCTCGCGCGCAGTGTCTGCCTGGAGGACTCCTGCGAGGCGTGCCAACGGCACTGCCACCAGGAGCTGCGCTGCATCCGCTGGCTCATGAAGGGAGAGAAGCTCAGCGACGACCGCAAGGATGTCGCCGGCTTCGCACGGGTGTGCATGTGGATCAACATTACAAGGTGTAATCTCCTTTTCAATAATGGTAGTCGCTCTTGATTTCGGTTGGCTAGTCACTGGCTTTGAGTTATGGGCAGAATTCGTACATTACAGTAACTTTCCTGTGTGTGAACTTATTTTTTTAAGTGTGCTTCTCTATTGATCGAGGGTTATGCTAATTATGCTACTTGTAAATCATCACGTGTTTTAACAAATAAAATTGATTGAAACTATTTAGGAAATAATTTATCAACTTCTGGTCCAGCTGTGGAATGTGACGACCATCATACAAATAATTTGGTGAAAAAGCCCTCGTCGCCACATGAGGCCTCCCCTGTGCTACAGAAGGACGACGTGGGGGGGGGGGCACCTTGCCGTCCGATAGAGACAGTCTTACGGACTGTCTAAAAATACACTTTCCGGTGTGTTCCGGTGTGCTGGGAAAGGGGGGGAGGGGGGGGGTCGCGTGGCAGAAGGGATGACCCAGCCCTTAGCCTGCATAATGTACTCATGCTTCCAAAGGTCAGAGGTGTCACATTGTCACACTGTTAGATTTCAGATGATAGGGTGTGGAAGTGAGTTATGGATGCCCTCTTATGTTCTGTACTTTTCAACCAGTCGTGCTTTGTCCTCTGTTAGCGCTCCTTTTGTGTTTTATTTCTACCAAATGCCTCCTTCTATGGGATCAAAATACGTTTTTATTTTGTGTATAAAGTAAAGGGTGCCTACTTTGTTTTTACCATTCTTCCGTTAAATAAAATGTTGAATAAATAATGCGCCCGCACTTTGGAAACGTGTTATTTTCCCTTCATTTCTGACAAACGCCCATATAAAACGACTGCCACAGGGAGGGCGATGGTGAGGCTCCCACCCTCCCACCGCTTGGGCTGTCATAAGATGAGCAGGGAGCGCGACGGTAGTTGGCACAGGGAAAGCACCCTATCCCTATACTGCAACTGGATAGCGTCAGCGTCTGATAAATCATTATTGGTCTGCTTTATTTCCCGCACATTCCTCCCTGAGGCCTTAGTGGGAACGGCATGAATGATTGACAGTTGTAGCGAACCGATTGTTGGTGGTGTTGGTTCAAACTAATAAAATCAAGTCAGCACGACAACACGCGGAGCTCGCTTAGCGAAATCGGGAAAAAAAGGGGGGGGTGAATTAGTGTCACGTCGGCAAACCGGCAGTTACCAAAATCAATCGTGTACAAACTTGCAGATAACAAAAAGCAGAGTGTTGCGAAGAGAGAACGGAGGGCGAAGCTGCCGCGATCACCCAGCGTTGGGGGAATGGGAGGGGGGTCCACAGCTAACACCGCAGCGCGCCGTTTGGGAAACGGGCCGGGCCGGGCCGGGCCGTGGCCAGAGCCCTGTATCGGGCGAGCCTCCGTTCGGCAAGAGGCTCGTTTGGAAAAAGTGGTGTGAGGTAGGGGAGGTAGATGTCTCCAAAGTCTCTCGAGCCGGGAGTAGCGACGGTCTACCGGCCGCTTCCGTCTCTCTCGCACTCGCCAGTGCCTGATGCGTCTGTCTTTGTCTTTCCCAAACGAGCCTCGCCGGCCGGTCAGATGCCCGCTTCACCTGGCGAGCCGAGCCGAGCCGAGCCTTCACGCGAGGTGGAGTGGCGTAGTAACGAGCCTACTAGGCTCGCCCGATACAGGCCTCTGGCCGTGGCCGCATGGGTTTCCCGCCCCGCGAGAGCGGGAGCGAAGCGGACCGTTTTCTCCGCCGTTATTATAGCTTCCGGGACTTTTCATGGGTGATTTTGATTCGTCTTTTTACAAGGAATCCGAATATACCATCGCCACATTTTTACCTAGAGTGGAATTTTTGCAAATCTCGATTAAGTGCGTTTTTTAGCGAAAAAAACACGTTTTTGGCCGTTTTCTCCGCCGTTATTACAGCTTTCGGTACTTTTTATGGATGATTTTGATTTGTCTTTTCACAAGGAATCCGAATATACCATTGCCACATTTGTACCTAGAGTGGAATTTTTGCAAATCTCGTTTAAGTTCGTTTGTCGGCGAAAAAATGTCGTTTTTCTGTCGTTTTCTCCACCAATATAACTCTGACATGGACTTCTTTACATGTTTCTGATTCAGTTTTTTACGCTGAATCTGAATATGATATTTTTAATTTTCTATCTTGTAATGATTTTTTTCATGTGTGCCGCACGGGCAGGGACCAACCCCGTGTCGACAAATGGTTAACATTTTTGAGTTCAGCACATCCGAATTAGTCAAGAACCGTTGAAAAATAATTTTTTCCCACTTTTCGGTTTTCTGCCCCACTGTGCGGTGGAGAGAGAGAAGGTGGCGACACGAGGGTCTCCCAGCATAGGGGCCCGTGGGTCCAGAATCTCGACAGGTTGGGGGATTATCGGCCGAGTCGGGGCTATCTAACCAGAGGCCTGTATCGGGCGAGCCTAGTAGGCTCGTTACTACGCCACTCCACCTCGCGTGAAGGCTCGGCTCGGCTCGGCTCGCCAGGTGAAGCGGGCATCTGACCGGCCGGCGAGGCTCGTTTGGGAAAGACAAAGACAGACGCATCAGGCACTGGCGAGTGCGAGAGAGACGGAAGCGGCCGGTAGACCGTCGCTACTCCCGGCTCGAGAGACTTTGGAGACATCTACCTCCCCTACCTCACACCACTTTTTCCAAACGAGCCTCTTGCCGAACGGAGGCTCGCCCGATACAGGGCTCTGTATCTAACGTGCCGGTACAGAGTACCTTCAGTCGGGGCGGCCTATGCAGGTAGCTGGGCCGCCCCGACTTAGCTTGAGCGGCACCGACCCTCGCCCGGCTCACCCGGCCGGAGTGTGCGAGAGAGAAGTCAGGTACGAGCCCGTCCCGCGCAAGCTGAGTCTGGGCTTCCCACCTACCTACCTGCACGGCGGCCCCGACTGAAGGTAGTGTGAACAGGCCCTGCAGTTGGCCCCGACTAGGGCGTTAATCCCCCAACCTGTCGAGATTCTGGACCCACGGGTAGACCCCTCGTGCCGCCACCTTCTCTCCCTCCACCGTGCGCCAAAGTGGCGATCTGACGTCGGATTTGGCGACGAGAATTTCCCAAGTGGCGACGGGCGACGGAGGTGGCGACATGGGTCCCCGAGTGGCGCGCGAGTGGCGATTTGACCTGCCGGGTGGCGATTTGTGGCGATTCGGCGGCCAAAAGGCTACCTGCTTCGCGGAACTGGGTTTTTCTCGCCGCCCCTGGGGCGTGGAGGGCGTGAGCGCGTGACCGAGAGGCAGGATTTCCTCTTAACATATAGGGCCGATTACAGCGACAAACGTGCCGAACTGAGCGAAAATTTGAACCTCCGCGCGCTGGAAGGTGGCGTTGAGAGTGGCGACTCATCGCTCCAGGTGGCGACGAGTGGCGATCTGAGTCGGTGGCGACGGGACTTGGCGCGGTCGGGACCTGGCAAGCCAGGACTCCTCCTGGCTGGTGGCTTACCTTGGCCAGCTGGCAGTCCGCGCGCAGCTGCAGCAACAGAAGGCGGAAGACGTCGCCGAACGAGTCGAGCTGCACATCGGCCTTCCAGGTGGATCCGTCCTCTTCCTCCGAGACGACGCTGCAATTGTTGGTGGTGAGCAGGCGGAGGCTGTCCTCCAGCTGCACGGCCAGCTGCAGCTGCTCTTGGGGCGGGGTGCCAGTATCTCCAGTCTTACTCCGTTGCATCTCCTCCAGCGCCTCCTCCAGCTGGCGGAGCTTGACCACGGACGCGTCCAGCTGGCGGTTGAGCGCCTTCACGACCTTGGGGAGCGCCAGCCGCAGCGCCTCCACCACCTTCCTGCCCGCGTCCACGCCCCGCTGCAGTTGCTGTCTGGGTGGTACGACTCTGTCCTGAATCAGTCGGAGCAGGGCGATGTTGTCGGGGAGGTCGCGTAGGTTCGCCGGCAGGGCCTGTGAAGGACAATGAAAACTGGTGATGCGCACTGTCTCATTGACTTAGAAAAGACGGTGACACAGCGAAAACTTTGCTAGGAAAGAAAGGCAAGATTTATATTGAGTCCTCGCTCGTTGTAATACTCTTCTCTGGATTCTATAGCTTTTAGTTTTTAAATTAACGAATAATGTG